CTGCAGGTTTCACAAGCGAACATATGGCGTGGCGAAGCCAAAACGGCGATTTACTAGAATATTGATAACCTTTCTTTCATGTCCATATGTTGTTGCTTGTGATGGTGCGATTCTGAGCGATTAGTTAGGCTTCCGCCCAAGCTTCAGAAATAGCATCAAATAGGAAATTATCCTCCTTTCTTACTTTTAACGTTTCTTCCATCATTCCGTTTCTATTTTAAATTAATCGTACTATTACCTAAAATAGCACATATAGTCGGTTACTCGCAATAAGTCTTTTTATGGCGACCACGAAAGGGCCGGGCGTGTCTCTAATTATACGGCAATTTCCGAACGCGTGCATTTTTTGGAGGGAACAATAGTGTCCCTCGGAATAACCACCCGATTATTAGCTTCCCGCAATAGGGGCCCTCTACAAATTTGATGAAGCCTGAGACATGTGATTTTCACATGCCTTTTTCGACTACAAATATCGTAGCCGACTACAAGCGACATGAAAGTCTTGCAGGGCTTTCGGAATAGATTTTGCATATATTTGGGGAAGTCACGATTCAGGCAAACACTAAGGCTTAGAAAGGAATAGTTCAAGCTAATAGACTCATTGCGTTAGTACTCGTGCAGAATAATTCATCATTCGCTCTCTTTTCCTCCATCTCTCTCCCTTTTTTCCTGTCACATTCTCGCACTCTCTCGCCCGGTTGCTCTTTCTCTACTCTCTCACTCTCCCTGACGCTCTTTCACTCACTCTCTCTCTCATTCTCGCTCTCTCTCTCTCTCTCTCTCTCTCTCTCTCTCGCTCTCTCTCTTTTTCCGCTATTGCTCACATTCTTTCAAGTCCTCTCACTTATCATATGAAAATTTTGCCAGTTTTTGTCAGTTTTGTCGGCCTACCATTTAGTAGTATATCTAAAACCCTTCCTGTCACCGTCCGTGGCGCGAAACCAAAAATGGGTTTAAATAAAAAATTGTGCCAATTTGTCAAGGTCTTGTTCCCCTTTTTCTTGTTTTTTTCTCTCAGTTTCGAATGCCTAAACCGAAAATTTTGAAGATTCTCTAAGATGTCGATGGGCTATGATAGGCGGTTCCCTAAGTGGGCTCCTGTCACTGCACCATTTAATCCGAATACGCTAGCTCTGCCCTGCCAGAATATTCAAGTCTAAGACCTTCGATATTGTTGAAAGTAGAAAAGTGAAGTACAGACTCCGGTATCAAGCGCCTCCTGTCGCCGCCCCTTTAACCGAACTCAAAATACCGCTCGAACAAGTTCCCCCAAAACGGCAATTTTTGCACAGTATTTTACAAAGATAGGCCTGCCAAAAAATCTTGCTGTTACTGCCGCTTTAACGCCTTCCCAAAATACCCCTCGAACAAATTCCCCCGAAATTTCCCAAGGTCACCTGATCCTCTACCACCTTCCCCTCCCCCCCTCTAGAAGCTCATCACTTCGGATGAGGGCCGGTGTGCTGTTTTCGTCGTTTGGGTCGTGTCGATGTTTTTTGTGTGCGTAGCTAGGAAGGGCGCAGGCCAACCAGGTCTGCTGGTCCGTTGTGAAATTGCGCCCTTTTCGGCCGGGGCGCTGCTGTGAGGGTTGTTTACGTGCGTCAAAGCACCCTCCATTCTTTTCTCCGTCTTTCCTGGTCCTTTGCCTTTGGTCAGCCACGAGGAGGAGCCGGAATCCTAAGGACCACATAAATCGAAATACTGCCCTCGGAAGCCGAGCCCCGGTCGAACCATGCATAAAGGACGATTTTTTGGTTCTAGAATTCTTCAGATTGGCCAAAACGATCGAATTTTAGCTGAACATTCCGAGCTCGAAGGAGCTTAAGGCTTCAGAAATTTCGGTGGTCCAACTGAGGCCAAAAAAGAGTTCGGTTTGATCTAAAATCCGTCGAGATTCAAGTTCTCTGGCATTTTTATGACATTTTCCCGCGATTTTTAAATCTGTAGCTATGCCAGTTTTACCGATGCCATGTATTGAATTTTATATAGAATTTAAATTTTTTAGGATGTATCTTACATCAATAGTTTTATATTATTTTATATTTAGATCCATTTTAATAATGCGTATAATTTCAAAAATAGCTGGAATTGAATATGGTTGATATACGGTAAAGCACACCCTAAACCTTTCTCACTCTGACTCTTTCTCACCCTCGCTTGCTTTCTTGCTCTCTCTCTCTCTCTCACTCTCTATCTATATCTCACTTTCCGTGATTATATTTTTGGAAAATTTCGAATATTTTCATGAATTCTCCTAATTTTCTAAACATTAACGGCATCGCCCCAAGAAACCCTGTCAAATTTCAAGCCACTCCGAAATGTAAGCAATTTACTCAGCTTGTTTCAACGGTCCCGAATTCATGGAAGCATGTGGACGGACCTCGTGCTCTCTCACTCTCTGTCTTTCAATCTCTCTCTCTGTCTCTCTCGTTTTCTCTCGCACTCTCTCGCTCTCTCTCACTTCTCCCTCCCTTGACATTTCAAATTCCCAGCAGTTTTCCCCACGCTCATTTCCGCCGTTCCAACTTTACTCTTTATTATTTTACGAATATAATTTTTACCTCTTTGATCTATTGGTTTTCCATTTTAAGCTCGTATTATAATCATCAAATATGCGACCAATTTTCAGTTTATGCGAACAACCCATCCGTTAAAAATGGCATCCCACCCATATCCGACATTTCCTGATTTCCCGCCGAAGCACATCCGGCACTGCATCTATTTTGAATTCTGCAACGGAAGTAACCCGAAGAAGACGGCTCAGAAGATTAATGATGTTTATGGGGAGGGCGCTACTGATGTTGAGGTAAGGTTTAGCAAATAAAAAAAATGATCTGCGAACTCCTTGAAAATCCTAAAGCCTTAGTTATGCAAAAAAATATTATAAGGGGGGACATTTTTTGAACATATTGAAAGAAGAGCACTTAGCTGAGGAATATCTGATCTATACGTACACCTGTCGAAAACGAGACGTCATTTTTAAAGGGGTTAGCAAGTCCAGAATCTACCATTTTGACTTGGACAACAGCCGTGACACTCCACGCGTACCTAGGCGAGGCGTGGGCAACGAAGGGGGGCTTTACCCATTACGCGATGAAAATGCGCACGTACTTTGCGTACCGACTCCGCCACAATACTCTTGAGGCCCAGGGCATTTGCAGCCAGTATAAGCCGTAGTCCTAACTTAAAGGTGACCTTTTCGGACTCCTTGAAAGACAGCAGGACAAGAAATTAAAATAATCTGCGGTGTTAGACTTTAAATGAAAACCTCAAAGTTACACTGTTTTTTAGACATGCGCCGAATGGTTCCACCGGTTCCGCTCCGGCGACACCAGCATGGAGGAGATCGGTTCCTCAATGCTTTCTGCTCGTCCGGTCCAAGAGTCCATTGAAGAGAAGTTGAAGGCGGTCGACAGCGAAAGTCGAATCTCGTCGCGGAAAATGGCTGAGCAATTGGGTAAGTGATTTCAAGGTAGTCGTACATACTTCGTTCAGCTTTTAAAATTTTTACATTATACAAAAAAATGATAATTGTTAAATTGCGTCTATTTTGAACAACAAATTACGATGGGTATATGCTGATCCTAAAGTACCTCTCGATCTTTTGCACCTTTGGACTTTTGTTTTGGCATCGCCTTGTCGTGCGCACGTGCTATCAACCAGAGTCCACCGGCGCTGTGGAAACCGGATAGCTTGGAAAATGCGATTTCGTAAACTACCAAATTTATTTGGGATGATAGCTAGGCACTCGAAAATAAAGCTGATTAAACCTATAACATATACCTTTTTTATAGCTTCATATTCCAGGCGTCCCCCACCAAACCGTCCTCAAAAACCTGAAGGTCATCGGCCAGAAGGCCAAGCGCGGCCAATGGAGCCCGGAGGCGAACAAGCGCAAGTCGAACATTTCCCAGAACCGGCGATTCTCCGCTCATAAATGAGCGCCTTTCCGGCAGTTAACCTCTTCTCAACGACTTCGTCAAGTTTTACACGCGAGCTTTGAAGGGAGCGAGCCAGTAACGGCTCCATAAAGCTTCCTGGCTCTCCCCCTTTAACCGTTGAGTCTCGATCCGTTCTGAACATTTCCTCATTCCTGAAGTTTCTAATATCTATTTCCTCATTTCCATTTCCCCTTAAAATTGACATGTGCAATCCTGTATCGCTGTGGAATTCGCTTTTCAAAAGCTGTCTTTTTCTATTCTCGAATGTTTTTTTACTAGCTTTGTTGCTGTAGTACCTGCTTGCTAGTAATTAATCCGCCGTATTTGTATAACTTTGGCGCTGTATCTTGCGCTTTCTCTTTTACTCTCTGTTTCTCTCTCTCTCTCTATCTCTCTCTCGCTCTCGTTCTCTCTCTGTATTCCATGTACGCATTCTTAGCATGCGCTTACACACCGCTTCTCTGTACCGCCATAGCCTAAAATTCCGGACGACAATACGACCACAACTTGTATCATATTCTACGTGTTGATGATACCTTCCAAATACGGAAATTCTCCGATGTTGATTTCAATTAACTTTAATCATCTGAAATTTTGCTACCTTGGACCAAATAAATCGTTTTCTCCTGCAAGGGGTGCAAAAATATTTCATGGTTCAAAGAAACTTGCAACTGCCGCAGAAGGCAAAAATGAATGCAATTTTAAAATTCGCGTCTTTGCATGAGTTTTAACGCTAAAACGCGCTTAATAAAAAATTTTAGACCTTAGATAAACAACAATAAGATAACATTTAATTTTTTAGACGTAATAGACATACGCCAAAACGGTGAATTTGGCTTTGGCTTACACTACCCAAAACCGCTAATTTTGCCAATATCGTCAGCTTCTTTGTCTTGTAATTTTTAGTAAGTGTTGCATAAGTAAGTAGTAGTCTTCTAAAAATTTCCATAAGTTGTAGCCCTTGTAGAGTACAAAAAACTTTATTCTCGCAATGTCCTTGAGCTTGAAAAAAGTAGGTTTTGACGTGTTCACTTAGTTTGATCATCAGAATCAAAAAAATAGATATCAAAATGCCATAGTTCCGAAAGTGAAAAGCATAATGGGGGCGAGGGCGAGATCGGCAGTGTGCACGGGGCCATCAGAAAATATTAGTTCTGATGTGGAAAAGGCATTAATAGACAGTGTTTTTGATACAAGAAAAAAATCCAGTTTTTGATGAAAATGAGGGCAATGTCAAATAGAACCGGTCTAAAATGTCATAAAAATGCTGAGGAAATGTTGAGAAGATACGGAGAACTACGAAAAAATATAATTACAAAACATAAACTGGAAAAATCTGATAGCTCAAGCCCAAATTCCTTCAGACTCGTCGAGCTCGGCAGAGTTGACCATGACGTCACCTGAAAAATATTCAAGTCAGGCTTGGATTTTGTGTATCCCGTAAAATTGGCATATCAACGATAGCCTATATCTTTTTTTTAAATCAATTTTTCCAAGTGTTTTACAGTAGCGGGAAACATTTGTAGCCGGGACCGGCTTAAAGAAACATTTTTTTCACAAAATTTCAACAAAATTTTCCGGTTTTCACCAGCTAACAGTATTTTTTACAAAATTTGGAAATCCATTTGAGCCTATTCTGCTGATGACGAGCATAGTGAACAAGGGGCTCAATAATTTTATTCCCAATTCTTTAAGTCTGTGATTTAAATCAGGATTTGCCATACGTGCGATAACCAGATTTGCACCGAAATCCAAAGGATACTTAAAATGCTATTTTGAGCAACACCCCTGTCTAGTTTACTCACCAGCCCGACTCGGCGGCTTGCTCGGTGGGCCCAGCATTCCGATCGGGGCATTATGCTGTTGGACGTGGATCGGGTGGGAGGAAGAAGATAGTGGCAAAATTGGAGCGCCGACGCCGATCACCGGCCCTGGAAAGCAGCGTTCGTAGCTGGCTGATTCGCGAGAGCGGACTAGAATCGGGGAGGATTAAGGGAAACGGGTACTTCAAAATTTCTTAATTCTCTCTCTCCATCTCTCTCTCTCTCTCTCTCTCACTGTCTGTTTCACTCTCCCCTTTCTCTCTCACTCTCTCCCTCTCTCCCTTTCTCTCTCTCACTCTCTCCCTCTCTCGCTGTCTCTCTCACTTTCTCGCTCTCTCTCTCTCTCACCTGGCTGCGTCGCAATTTGCTTCGTCAGACTAGCTACAGTAGATGGATCTGCGCACATCATGAGGGTACGACGCTCGTTTTCCTAAATATTTTTGATTGCACGGCCTATTTTCCAAGCTTCTTTGTCCTCAAAAAGCTCTGCTAGGCTGCCCTACCTGCTTCATCTGGCTGAGCAGGGCTTCTCGGTGTCTTCTGACCGTTTCGATTTCTTCACGGGGAGCTCGACCTTTTTCAAGTAGTGCCAAGTGAGCATCTTTTTCTTGGATGGCCGCCATTAGTGTTTCTTGTCTAAATAGACTTCTTTTGAGCGGAGGGACAAGGACAGAGAGAGAGCGAGAGAGATTGAGAGAGAGAGGGGGGAGACAGAGGGAGAAAGCGGGAGAGCGAGAGGGAGAGGGATGGCGCGCAAGCGAGAGAGAGCGCATGGCAGATGTAGAAAATGGCTCACTTCAACTGCAATAGCTGCTCAACATGCTGTCTTCGTTCGGCGTCCATAGCTCTCATCGTAGCTTCCCTATCTGGTCCTCCCGTATCTGCGATTTTTCTCCTCAATTCCTGCACTTCGCGCTTGGAGTCATTCAGCTAAAAATAAGCAAATAACAGCAATTAACGATAATCATGTAGGCTTCCATTAATTCGCAAATTGTTACACACCTGCTGTGAGATATTGTGCATCAAGTGCTTCTGCTGGGCCAGATGGACCTCTCGCTCGGCGGTGATTGACACGGATTCGCGGAGCGCTTCTTCTAGCTCTTCGATTCTGAATATATAAATTTATTTACAATTTTATTGATCAAAGTACAAGAAATACCCCGAGTTATTGTCGGAATTATTTTAGGCTCTTCCTAAATTCTGGGCTTTTTTATGACACTTTTGAACTTGCATATTCAACGTAATTTTTGCGAAAGAACTCATTGTATCCAATTTTTATAGCTCAACAATTTAAAACATAAATTAAATGAATAAAGTGCAATATATGTGTATTCCTACCTCTTCTGGAACTGGCTATGCTGCTGCACCGGATTCGACGAGACGAGCCCGGTTCTTCCATCAACTTTCACAGCGCCTAAATACAAAAATTTAAATGCGGAAAAATACAACATCCACCCAAAAAACCAGAGCCACTAACGAGATTCAGGCTCTGCAAAAATATAGTAGTATCGACTAACTAAGCCTCGGGGAGAAAAACGGGGCTCTAAACTACGGTAGACTGCTCCAAAAAATCGTGGAAATCCAGAAGGTACAGTAGAGGAGGCGGACTCGGGGTATACGGCAATTCACAAAAGTTTGTGGAATTTGATACCGTATACCCGTTCTCTTGGAAAATCACCCTTGGAACTTACCGTCTGGCGTTAGCGGGTCTCTGGCTAAATCGAGGGGTTTATGATACGTTTTCTAACTAGTGTAATCAACATCAAAATGGGCAGGTGTACAGAGGAATGTAACGGAATGATGGGCACGCGCACAAAACGACAACAAGGAGAGCTTTAGCCGGCTTTAAGAAACGTTATAGCAGGTTTGGATAAATTTAGCGCCTACAGTATCTTAAACTTTTTTAATTCTATTGTTTTAATGTAAATTGATTGAATTTTTAACCTTGAAGTGAAGTTTTTTTGCTTAAGTTTTTAAGACAAAATTTTGAGAAATGGGTATTTTCCGGAACGCATGGCTTTTTAATTACAGAGCTTTTTTATCGTTTAGTAGAAATTTTTTATTAAAATGCGCTGCATGCGCCCTGTACTATGCCATGAATTTTTTATGAATTCACTAGCAAAGACTGGAAAAAGCTTTTCAGAAATGGATTCGGTTTTTTCTTCCTGTCTTCTTGCTCAAAATGTACTACACTCAAATTACTACTCTATAAATTACCAATAAATTATAAACTAGTTTACTTTGTAAATTAATTTTTAGATTTTTGTTTTTTTTCAAATGGGTTTAATTTAATTTCTTAAGAAGACCCACCATCTCTATCCACCGTTCCGCGCAGCTGCTTGTACTGCGAGACGATTTGGGCATTTTCTTTCTCGAGAGCGCGGACCATTTTGAGCAGCTTGTCGACCTCGGAGCGAGCGACTTCCACCTTAATTAATTGTTTTATAGATGTACAGTATTTTTCTAGAAATATAATATCGCAGGCGATTAATGGCAATCCCAAAAAAACCTGCTAATAAAATTGCTTTTGCCCGAATGACAACCATCTAGGCATGGCTAGCTAACAGGCCAAAAATGTTAATGTTACAAGAAAATAAAGACAATTTCGGACCTCGGAAACAGCTCTTCCTTTCATCTAAATTTAATATAAATATTTAAACTACGGATTTTCAAAGAATTATTAATTGGTAACCCACCTCCTTCCTCAACTCGTCGGCTCCCTTGTCAACCATCGCAGCTTGGAGTCGATCTTTGGCAGATTGCACTTCCCGGCCCAGATCTCCGATTTTCTCGTTTTGAGATTCGAGTAGAATATCGCTAAAGTTATAGTTTTATTAATTTATTATTTTGTTAGTATTTTGAATTCCGTTTTAGTGTCTTTCTATAACTTACCGATCCGTTAGTTCTTTCTGCAAGTTGTCGACCGTGCCCTTGAGCTGCTCCACCTCTTTTTGGTAGGTTTCCAGCTAAAAAATCGAAGCGTTAAGGATAGAGATAGACAGAGGGATAGAGAGAGGAAGAGAGAGGGATAGAGAGAGAGAGAGAGAGAGAGAGAGAAAGAACAGTGTCGTACCTGAAGTTGCCGTTCCTTATCTCCAGTTCTTCTGATGTCGTCGACTAACCGTTCGAGAAGTCGCTTTTCTTCGGATACTAAATTATGGAACTGTGGGAGTTTATGAAATCTTAATTAAAGGGATCAAATATCAACTCACGTTTCTCAATCTTGTCGTTGAATTCCTTCTCCTTGACGACATCTGGGTGCGAAGTGAGTCGGTGCTTCATCCGATCGATTTCGGCTAAAAATACAGAAATACTTAATGTAAATTTTGGTACATTGTCAGTGTCTAATTAACATTAAAATATATAGCTGGATTTACTGGCTTAAAAACGTACCATCTTTTTCTCGTAGCGTATTTTCCAGCCCATCTAATCTTCCGACAACCTGGGTCATTCGCAACTCGGTCTGGCGGACCTAGAAATGTCTGGATTACAGAACGGCTACACAATAATGATCGTATTTTGTAGTGTAATGTACTAACAACAATTAAAAATGATAGAATTCGAATTTGTTTAGATTTTGACTAACATTTTCGAGTCGATCCAACGCCTCATGCCGGCTTTCGCGAAGCTCCTTCTCGAGCCGGGTGATGGTGGCCTCCCGTTGCTCCACGGCCTGATTCTTGGCTTCCAGCTTTTTCCGGAGAGCTTCGACCTAAAGTTATCAAAATAAGTTATCAAACTTAGTTTAAATAAATTATTAAAGTTATCTAAATCAGGGCCTACGTCTCCTTGAAGAATTGTATTGGTATGGTCCCGCTGCGATGTGTTATCCCGGTAGACGTGCATATGCGACTTCAGATCCATATTCTCGTCCTCGAGGTCACGGATTCGAGCCTAAAAGCGTTTGAATTTATTTTATTGATCCAAATTTATATGCTATTGGCCCCAAAAAAATCGCATTGGCCCGCAACCGCATCGCAAAACCCTAAACTACAAAGTTAAAAATACGATTTTTGTGATTTTTGAAGTTTGCAAATCTAAGTTTTTACACGAATTTTCATCAACAACAGGCTAAATAATTTACACCTCAAAAACGGCAAAATAAACAAACTTGACATCCAGCCAGCTCCTGCTTCCGCTCGCTGAGCTCGATCTCACTCCGCTCCATCTTCAACTTCATCGTCACGATGTCGTGCTTGGTGACAGTTTTATCAGTGAAGTCCCGAGGCTGCTGGGCACGGAGGTTACGATAACGATTCAGCTCCTCCTCCATGTGAGCAAGACGCTCATTCTAAAAGCAAGTTTCATGATTATCTAGCTGAAAATTGAGCCTACCTTTTCATCTAACCTCCTCAAAGCTGTCTCTAGTGCGAATCGGCCACCAGCGTCCTACAAAAGTAAGAATTAGCCGGTGAAATGGGTGAAAACAGTTTCTCATTGTCTTCTTCTCTTCTCTCTCTCTCTCTCTCTTCTCTCCTCTCTCTCGCTCGCTCTCTGTCTGTCTTACCCCAGCATGTGCCTGCTTCAACATCTCCTGAAGGTGTTCGACAGTCTGCTCCAGCTCACGGTATCGAATCTCGTTTGCCGCCATCATCGTAGAGGGACCCTGCTCGTCCAGCATGTTTGTTAGCTGCCGGATACGGTCGTCTCTAGAAAAATCGAGAAATTGCAAAGACATAACCAATAGAAAGAGAGAAAGTGAGAGAGAGAAAGAGAGAGAGAGAGAGAGAGAGAGAGAGAGATAGTAATAGAGAGGGCGAGAGCGAAGGAAAGTAGTGATAAAATACCTGGCAGCGATCTCCATCTGAAGCGCAGCATTCCCTCCAACAACACTGGCCGCACTCCCGCCGGCAGCTGCCAACATGCGCTCCAGCTGGGCTATTCGGGTGGCTTCTTCTCGTCTTAAACATGTTAATTTCTGGCTTGTTCGCGATTCCGATACCTCATCTGCCTCTCCCTCTTCAACTCGGGGCTCCAGAACTGCTTGATGCTGTTCATGGTCTGGTTGAGCTTTTCCATGTTGGCCGAGTAGTCGGCTTTCAACTGTGAGAACTCTTGTTGTAAGCTCAGCCCTCCTGCCAGGTTGTCCGTGTCGTAGCGGCTACAATGTTAGTTTTAAGGGGAGCGTGACACCAAAAAAGCTTATTTTTAGGTGGACGATGCGGGTTTCAAAGGTTCAAAAAGTGCCGCCAGTTGCCAAATTCTAACAATAAGGTAACATAGCGTACCTCTCATTCCAAAACCTTGATCCGGTGGCTGTGGGATTAGATAGGGGACCGGAACTCCGAGGTGCTCCATAGGACGACGGTTGTTGGTAGCTAAAAGCCAAACGTAAGCTTTTCAAGCGTAATTTGGTGTACTTTGTAGCTATCGAAAGCGGCTGCAGATCATCCATGGCGTCTGAAAGCGAGCCGACCATGTCCATTGAGCGGTGTTGTCTGCAAAATGGTACTAGAGGATAAAAAATCTGCGTAATAATTGTTTGCCTTTTTTAGGAAGCTGTTTCAATGATTTTTCGCTGTAGCGTACTTTTAGAAATCAGCAATCTTTGAAAAATCTAAGACTTTGGTCGAGAAATGAGAACAAATATAGTTAAGTTAAATGCATTGATTAAGGTAGCGAAAGAGCGTACTTAAAAATTTCTCGTAATTATTAAAATATCCGGATTACTTATCGAACATTTGTACAGTTTAAACTTCAAAAAGATAAATTTTTCCTTGATATAATCGTCGTTTTTTAGTCTATTTTCAGCTGACAAAGCATCATTGAGATATCCCGGTCAGAAAGATATCATTTAAGTCTCGTTTCCAATATTTTCAAGCATATTTTTGCGGTTTCTGAGCTCACCTCATCCCTCTGACCACAATTCTGGGGATCACTTGATCGGGTATCATTTTAGAAAATTAGAAATATTTAAAAATTAGCTGGGAGCCAAGTCAGGTCGAACAAAAGGTATAGCGCAACCCAATTGGCCCCGGCCCACGGCGGCTACGGGCCAATACTTTGGACGTTAGCGGGCACCAACGGGAGCTGGCTAGCGTGTGTGTGCTATGCGCGTGCTCCCTATCTCTCCGGCTAGTAATTGGTCTTCCCTAGGCTATGCGCCGTGGGGCCAAAAAGGGCAAGACGATGCCTAGCACGAACCGATGCAGGAGCCCCCATTTTGGCCTTTTTTCTCTTTTTAGGGGCTCTTTTCCCGGTTTCTTTGTCTTTCGGCAGAATTTTTGGCTCTCGCCCAGTGTGCCAGTGAAGCGAGAAATTCAGGAAGTGGGGGGCAGGATATTTTGCAGATAGAATCTAGCGTATGGAAGCGATATTTTCAGCGCGTTCAAAGCCATGGTACTTCATGGAAAAACTGGCATTTTACTCAAACCTATTACTGTATTTTGTATCATTCTAGCAGCTTTTTACAAGAGTGTAAGACGCTGTGACAGCTCAATGAAAACGATATCATTAGGTTGATAGACTTGTAAAAGCAGAACTGACGACCGAAAACAGCTAAAAGGAAACGCCGTGACTCACAAAAAAAAATATTTTTAGAATACATGAAGTATCATGAAGCTCAAAATCCGAAAGTTAATTTTTGCTTTTGGCTAAATTCTGTGAAATTTTTTTTAATTTAAATGAGCGTTGATCTGACAAATTAGGTACGATCAATTTCTCACCTTCTTTTAATTCTTCCTAATGAGCTGGCGTTCGATTTGGAGCGAACGCATTGGGACCAGGCCATTGGGAAAAGTTAGAAAATTCTTTATAATAGGTGTAAATAGTAGTGTAATGGGATTCAAGCCGAATATAGCAGCTATTCAACAAACTTGATCAAATTCGGGCCAATAATGGATTTTCAGGCCTGATTTACAAGCTGCACGGCAATAGGAATCGTGCGGAATTTTCACAGCGCAAAATAGAATTTAAAAAACCAGAATCTTAGTGATTTCCTATGGTCTAAATATGAATGATGATGAATTCTGAAGCCAAATCGAGAGCAGGCCAAGGAATTTCGTGGGGTTAGGGCTGTTCTCTCTTGAAAAAGTGTCCACCTGAGGTCCCGCCGCGAAGCCGCGCGCTGGCTGCTGACCATCGCCCCCCACAAAGGCAAATAAACGTAAAAAGGCGCGCCAGCCCGCTGGCCATTGCCCCCTGCCCAATATTTGCAAAACGACCGGGGCTTAGTGTAAAAAATATTGTGGGGTATGATTAGGACGGTTTAAAGGGGTTGAGACAACATCGAAAAATAATGGAATTGTAAGATTTGCAGTGTACCGGAAATGTGAGAACAATGATCAACCAAGTTTAAAGGGATGGTGCCAGGAAATTGGCAAAAACCGGAGACCATGGCGGGGCGCAAAATTAATCCATTACGATACGGAAGTTGCCTCACCTGACCAACGGCTTCCGCCTATTAGAATAACCGCCATCGTGCATGGCTTGCCGCGCGCTGGTGGGGGCTGGGCCTGAAAAAATTGGATGCAAATAAAAGTCGTAAAATTGGATGCGTCCCAAAATAGGAATGGCATGAAATTCTTTGAATTCCTTTCTTCCGATCTTGGCGCCTAGCCCGTTCTCAGGCACGCCCGTTTCTTCCGGCTCACTGGGCGCTTTTCTTAGGCTCAATACAGAAATTTTGTTTTCGCGCGTTTTCTCTCTGTCACACGTGCTCTGGCTCTCCCTCTCTCTCTCTCTCTCTCTCTCTCTCTCTTTCTCTATCTTTGATTTCAAACATTTCCTACCTACGACATTCGAAGAAGAACTCGGCGCATATTGATGGGGTGGCGGGGGTGGAGGTGCAGAGTGGCCACCCGGATTGTAGTGGCTTGAGGAGCCATCTAAAAATCAGATACAATTTCTGGGTAACACGTTAAAAATTATGTATTGTATTTCAGCAATTCTAGAGCGTTTTTGGATCCTCCAAATGCTAAAATGCTTACACAAATCGACGGGTCGGGCTGGCTGGTGGTGGCCGGTGGGCCCGTTCAGCCACGCCCTATCCAGGGTTTTTCCTGCAAAAAACTTGAAATAAAGAAGTCTCATCCATTTAACTTCAAATAAAAAACGTCAAGTTTGAATTGCCATGATAATTGAAAGGGAAACATTTTTAGAATAGCGCAAAAAAACCGAAAACTTGACAAATTCCTAGTTGTTTTTTCCAGATTTTAGGATGAAAAATTTAATTCAGAATTAATACCTAATGAATGTATTTCGCTCATTAAATAAATGTAATTAAGGAATAACAACTAAAAAGCTAGAACTTTATTAAAACGTTGAGAATGTGAAGGAACCAAAAAAAACACCAAAAAACCAAAAGTAAATAGTTAAAAAGAGTTAAAATTAATTTTAAGCAAAAATCTATTTCAAACATGAATCTAATTAGTCTGAGGAACCCCCCGAGCCCAAATCGATGCACCTGTCGCGGTGAACCCATAAAGTATCCGGCCGGCCTGGCTGACGGCACATTTCCCATTTTGTTTCTCGTGAAAATCAGCCGAAACGAGCATTGGTGAGCACCAAGAAAAGGAACACAAGATAGGGGAGACAAAGGGCGGATAATGAATGTGACAAGTGTCCGCCCGCCCCCCATCTCTGATCCCCTCCAAGGCTTTTCCTTTGGGGTTTTCCCGCTTTTTGCCTTGGTTCTGTTTTCTCTTGGTGAAAACTATGCCCGGCATCCATTCCATTCCACGCCACCAGCACCAGGTGGCATTCCAGCGAGGGGGTGAGCGGAAAAACGGGCTGATTAATTTCGACAGGACATGGGGGTCAAATATCGGGCCTGTGCTGATGCTATATGTTATCGGATTTAGTACCAATTCATTTTGCCGAAAATTATTTTGCCGACATCCCATCGCGGAAGTTCAAAGTCTCCATAACATCTGGTAATTTGGCTGCAATGCTAAAAAGAATGCTCAGAACTTAAATTCAAGTGCTAGTCCGTGAATATTAGTGGATGGCAGCAGCAGCCGAGAGATTTCGGGTTTTGGCTAAAGCTGCAATCCGTATGCATCCGGCTTTTTCGTCGGGCTGTGAAGGAAAAGCCCGGGAGTCGAGTGGTGGGCCGATTGGGCCAATTCCAGCCAAAGCCAACGGGGACAAGCACCCCGCCGAGAAAGGGTGTGCCAAAACCGGACACGATGCCCGGCTAGCTAGTTCCGATAAACAACCGCCCGGGAAATAATAATATTAGGCCATGGAAATTGGAATACGAGCAATGGGACTAATTTTGCAGTAAGCTCTAGAAACTACAGCTTTTTCCCAAATTCTTCAAATTTTAGATTTCCGAAAATCACTTTTTCGAAGGACAAACAGCGAAAAATACATACTTTCGACGATGCTATTTTTCAAAGTCAGAATTTCAAAATTTTTGGTCACACCTACTAATGGGAAAAAAGCTCATTTGCGTGTTTCAATGTTCGAAAACATTTTTATGACAAACACTTTTTGAAAACTCATATTCCGGAAAAGCATACTTTCTAAAACCGTATTTCCAAAAATCGGAAATTTTGAATATTTTTCTGTACCAATCGAAACAGACTATCAAACGCAACTGTTAATTTTAACAAAATTCTCTTGTTCAATAATAATTTTTGAAAACAAGGCTTTTCGGGAATCCATTCTCGATAAAATTCGTTTTTTTTTTCGGGAAAGTGTTTAACGACCCGCATTTCAGGAGACAGAAGGATAGTGGATGGTAGACAAAATCCAAATTTATTCCAAGAACCAAAACGTCAATTTCACTGTTTTCGGGATGCACCGGTAAGTAATCCAAGTCGTGCAAGGAAAACCCCGCCGCCACCGGAAACCCGTGAATTAACGCCGGGGGCCCTGAAATCCATGGACGCTTCCCTGGAATGGCCGAAGGCCGTTCCTCTCACGCCCACGAGACCTCGAAACAACCAGAAAAAGTAATTGAAAGGAGGGGATTTCCGTCTTTTGGGCCGCCCTAGGGAATGTCGTGGCGACTAGAGCCGAAGGGGAAAGCGGAAGCCGCCGGCATTCAATGCGGAAAAGATGAAAAACGGCACCGCATTCATTTGTCGTGGCTGGCGGACGGCGGGGACGACGAGAAAAACGAGGGGATTTTGGAGAATGTAATGGACTGCCACTATTGCAGAATGTAGTGAGATGAGGGGTTTTTGAGTTAAAAACCACTTTTGGACAAACGAGCGACGAAAATCGCGTGAAAAAGTCGAAAAGGGAGGAGAGAGTGTGAGTGAGAGAGTGAGAGAGTATTAGAGGTGAGAGAGAGCAAGAAAAAGATAAAGAGAAAGATGCTGTGAGAGTGAGAGAGCGCGGGAAAATCATTTGAAAGCATGCTAGAGGAATGCCGAGAAATTGGATCAGAGAGAAATATATAGAGCGAGCGAGAGAGATAGAGCATGACAGAGATAGAGCGAGAGA